TGGGACACTGGTGTGAGGGAGTGCGATTGTTCTTGTTTTTCAGTGGCGCCATCTATGGCCAGGAATTCGACTTCTGCCACGCAATTCACGCAACAACAACCCGTTTATAGGGTGGGTCACATTCACACACAAAAGAGAAAGGACATTGAACACACACAGAGAGAGGGAGAGAGAAAGAAACATCCATGCCTTACCCGGGATTCGAACCAGGACCTTTCTGATGCAAGGACAGTTCCCTGCCCTCTACACAGGCCGCTCGGCATATATATATATAACATAATAAAGAGAATGACTAAAAGAAATGAAAGATTAGCAAAAACAATTAAGAAATATGAAAATATAATGAGTTTTATTCATTGCGCGTAAGCTGCAAGTACGTAGAACCTATAAAATAAGTCAAAAATGCAAAGAAAACAAGGCAAAATAATTATATAGATTTTAAATAGAAGACGAAAAATTATTATGAAATAAAAAAATTTCATAAAATATTTAAAAATAATGTTTATAAATGATTGAATGATTTATACTTTAATTTAATGATTGATAATTTTATTTCTGAATACTTTTCAAAAACATTTTGTTTGTTATTAATTTTTACTAACACATTTAATTTGTTAATAATATTTACTTTTAATAATATTTACATGAATTTACATTTCATTTGTTAATTTGTATTTATTAATTATTTATTTGTTAATAATGTAATTAATAAGTGTTAAAACTGGGTTTACAATGAAATCACTTCATTTAGGCTTTTGATAATGAGTCAAACTTTTAGTTACATCGTTATTTCAACATTAACTTGATTGCTTTTTTCGCTAATTATTAATTAATTGTCTGCTTAACTTGATGCAATTTTTATTATTTCTTTTTAAATTCAACATAACTTTATTGCTTTCTGGTTAATTATCAATTAATTGTCTGGATAACTTGATACAATTTTCATTATTTTTTATAAAAGTGAGGCTTATTTTTTAAGCAAGTCCTTTAAGCCACCACTATCAATATTGGTATTAAAAATTAATATTTTAATATATATTAGTTTAAATCTTTAGTTAGTAAACTTCGGTTTCTTATTATATTTAATGTACGCATTTTGTTTTCAATTTGAAAATAAACTTTGTAAAGCATGAAGTAAAAAATTATGCTTTTGCAAAATAAATTCTGCGTAAATCAATTGTATTTTGTATAATTATTATTGTATCGAATTTTTCTGGGAAATCTAACTAAAAATAGAGAATTTTCTTTAAGGCATTGAGAGAGTATCTTGTTCAAGTGCAAATTTTGAATATACCTTTCTTTTTTTTCCTTGATTTATTTGAAATTCTAATATATTCTGTTTGCATTCATTAAACATATAAATTCAGTGCAACATATTTTTTTAAACCATCATCCATATTCAGTCATTATTATGTTAAGGGGAAGTGGTGTAAGTTAGTCAACTATTGTTGACTTTATGAACGAAATTCACACCCCTTTTGAAAGGCAGATCAAAAGAAACATTGAATGACCTTTGAACCAGTAAAATGACCTACAAGTCCAAGTAAAGACTGACAAACAAGAAAAATGAGTTTTGAGGAATGAATTATAAACTATTTCCTGCGCATGCACATGTTAAATCCTGACAGAGTACCTTGTAATACCGTACAGAGCCTACAGTACACAGTATAGGATAAATTTGCAGTATTGAGGTAAGCGCAAAATCTTTTTAGCGTTTTATATTGTTATCGAATTTATTTCTTTTAAGTCATTGGTGGAGTAGCGCTACAGTTAAAAACATTCTGTGATCTTTATTTATGAAATTATACTTTTGCTTTTTAACATAAACCAATTAAGCACAATAATGTAATGACTTTCATCTAGGAAATATAAAATAAAATATCGGGAGTTAAAATTCAACAACTCATAAGAGTTAAACTTAAAACTAATTTAATAAATAAATAAATAAGACGCATTTTGTATATAACAAACTTCAATTACACTTCCCAATAATGCTGGTACTAATATATTTATATTTCAAAAATGTATGCTCCAATTGAGTACGTAATACTTTCTATGTTTAAACGACACAAAACATATTTTTTATGATTTTTTCAAGGAAAAGAAAGCGTGCTATATTAGATGTTTTTTATTAAAAAAAATATGTATTTAAAACTTAGAATAGCTAATTTTTTTTTAAGGTTTAAAGTAGTATAATGATGAACCACAGTTCTTATGGTGATTTTTATTTATTTATATTGAGAAAATACATGTAAAAGTGCTTTTTTTTCATATAAAAATATGTTTAAAACTAAGAATAATTAAAAGTTTTAAAGCTTACAACAATATAGCGGAAAACTATTTTTTGAAAGGTGATATCTACTGATTTACTGTGGTTGAATACGTGTGCAAATATGTATTGCTCACCTACTCACCCCAAGCAAATTATTTAAAAATTATAAAATATTTGTCAAGCTTCAAAAAAAATTTATTTACTCTGTTACGAAATAACTATTGTTTTACTACAAATATTTATTTAATTTTCATTTTTAAAAATACTTTTGGCTAAGAATTTTATAACCATAAATATTTTAATTTTTCAAATTTGTAAAAACGTTTACAAGAATTAAAAATTGGAAATTTCCAAATTTGTGCTCAAGGTTTTCCCAATTGTTTCCAAATTGCATTTCTATAAGCTCATTCAATTCTAATGTACGGTTTATTAAAAGAACTGAAAGAATTTTTTTTAATGTAAAAAATGGTACATAAGAGCAAGCTATAAAAATAATACTATTTCCGTTGAAACAGTCATGAGAAAATACAAATAATCAATTAAAAATCTAACTCCATATTTTGCAATTGTAAAATTTTGATTTTCTGGATTTGTTCCTACGTTTTTAAAAAGTTGACGCTGCCTTAGAAACATAAAAAAAATATATATCTATTTTACATTATTCTACCATTCATACCATTGTATTATATTACCATTGATACTATTGTATTGACATTGCCATTGATATATTTATATTCATTTCTGAATAATTTGAATGGTAACATTAATTTACTATACCTTATTTAAATCTGCGTCATTACTAATTGTACTGCATCATTTAAAAAAAATCAAATGCCCTTTTTTTCAAATCCATCCTGCAAATATTGTGCGTCATTTTGTCTGTTTATTTTAACAGTATTCTTTTTTAATCTTATTCTTCATATACCTTTGAAATGTGTTCGTGCTTCCCAATTATAAGCCTCTAATATTCTCAAAATAAATTTTCTACATTCTTGATTTTCTTCATTCTTGATTTTCCTCATTTTCCATCACTTTCCCTTCGTTCTTTTTTAAACGATTTTTTTTTATAAACTTATGTTCAAAAATATATAATTTGTGTTATTAATATTTTCCTGTTGTGGCGACATCTAGTGAGCAACAAGTAAAGGCAAAGTAACCGGATTGAGATGGATTATGGGACGCGCACTACACCTTGGGGGAGCGAGGTCATTTTAATACCGGCATTTTTCCATCTTCTGGAAGGAAACCATTCTAATCTCATTTTGACCCTGCCTTTTTCCCTACGCAGGGGAAACAAGTTACGAAATTTCAAAATTATTAGCGCTTGTGACTATATTTTAGCGCATCTAAGTGTAAAATTTTGCATCGGATCCTATTAGTATCAAATTTAGAATTTTAGTTCATTGCAAATCAACACTTATAGGTATGTGTCCCAATTTTAAACAATTCATTTTTTACAGTATCTTGGCGAACAAAGACGATCTTGGCGATCTCACGTATTCTTTGGCCGAGGATAGTATATTAAAATAATTCTTTAAATATATATGTACATAGCAGCATAATTGTAAGGGAACTCATGACTGTTCTTGAAAAATTTCTTTATTGAGTTTTTTAAGTTCGTTATTAGAGTGTATCACTTTTAGTCAAATGTGAGTGAATAATATGTTAGGCTTCACATATACGTTTTATTTATTTTCGCGTAGGTGTGTCAAAAAATTGTCTGTAATCAGCCATGGTCCAAGGTTATAATAATTTGAATTTACGCATTTACTATCTTTGGGTATTATCCTTGGTAATATCCCATGTTAGGACACATTTTACAGATTTGTTAACATTTTCATGCTTTGAGATAACATTGCTGTCCTCTTTTTTTTTTTTTTTTTTTTTAATTTCACCCGATGCTTAATGATTTACGCCGGACACATTCATAGTTGCCAACTTTTCTGGATTTACAAGTAGACTACTGGATTTCGCTAGTTTCTCCCCTGATCTACTAGTACAATAAAATTCTCCTGGTTTTTTTTATTATTATTAATGCAATCGTTGAACAGTTGACCGAATTTTTCCAGCTTACGACTACCATTATTCATCTCCGTATTCTTGTAATTTTGAACTCAATCCAAAAGATAACTCCTTAATCAAATTTTGGGAGAAATTTGCCGTCGTAGAAGTCATCTTGATGGAACTAACCAGCATTTGCGTTACATGAAGAGGAAAACCCCGAAAACCATCCCTGGCTAGCCTTATGGCAAAAGAACTCTATCCCATAATCCATCAACTACTAAGGATATTTTTTAGCAGCACTGTACTCTGTATGAGCTAGGTGCGGGATTCGAAAAAACCAGACATCGCTGAGATACAAAACCGGTTACCTCAATAGTAGGCGAGTGCTTTATCCCCTTGAGCCACCATAGCTCCTCCTTGTTTTTGTACATTTTGGAAAATTTCCGAAAATTAAGTTAGTTATCGAACAAAAATCTCTATGGAAATTTAATTTTTGCACAATTTAATGCTTTTGCGCCTTTCAATGAGGTGAGCCGTGAATCCCTCTATATACTCGATTCTGCACCAGGTTTGAACTAACCACAGTGCATGAAATATCTTCTGTGGTAGACTCATGGGTTAGAGTCCCCTTGCCATCGGAATAACCATGGGAGCTTTTCATGGTTTTCCTTTCCATGTAGTACAAATGTGGGTTAGTTCAATCAAAAAGTCCTCCATGTAGGCAAACTTTCTCCCAATACTTGACCCAGGAGTTCCCTTGTCTTCTGGATTGGATTCAAGATTAAGAGGCTACAGAGTTGAACATAGGTAATCGTAAACTCAGAATTGGGTCGACCGTTTAAAGACGGTTATAAAACAATTTATTGCTCGATTGAATAATTAAATTACAAATATATAATGAATCGAACCTTGCTTACCGTAATCAGTTCAAAGCTTTTCTTTTTCGTAGATCTTAAATTTTAATTTTTTTTAATTCATAGCTTCGTTTTTAAATTAATTATAAATTATTTTAATTATCAATTACGACTTAGTTGCCTACTACTATTTAAAACTTCGAGTTAACATATTAGGAAAAAAAAAATCATTTCAAATTCACTTAATGTCGGTCATAAATGAGAAATATTGCAGACGATTTATAGTTATTAGTATAATAAAGTTTTCGTATTTTGATAGCAACAAAATCCCTAAAATCCCCCAAATCTAATATATTTAGTATGTTACGCAACAGTTATCATGAAATTTATATTATTTCGTAAAATCTATTGGATTTTTTTCCAACCCATGTGGGTTGGCAGCTATATAGATATAGTGATAAGGAATCAGTAGTTGTTGGTTTAATTGTTGGGTAATTGGTTGGGTAATAGTAATTGTTAGGTTTTTAATCAAAATTTTTTAAAACGTGCGTCTCATATTAGGAATCTTTCCTGTACTTCATTATCATTGAAATGTACTGAATAGTGAATTAAAATATCTTTGAGACTAAATTAATGTTCTAAATGTTATTGTAAAATTTAAGATTCTCTCTTTTTAGAGACTGAAAGGATTTGAGAAATGGCGACTTCACAAAAGATAAAAGTTGTTTGCCGCATTCGAAGAAAGGCAGAAGATGAAGAAGATTCAACGGAAAACGGTTACACTTTTCCGGACGACAAATCACTCCTTCACACATCATCTGTAAGATTTATTTTTTGCTATTTCCAGATCAATAATTGTTTGCACGTTTCAATTTTAGATAACTCGCAATGTTTACTTCTACAAAATAAGACATAAAAAAAGAAGTATAGTAGGGGAGAGTGGGGTCAATTGTAACAGGGTATGATTATAACAGAGCAAAAATTTCGAGTGTCGGGTTCTAGATTTGGTTCCTAGGTGGCGCACAAGGTGTATTTAATAAATCTACATGATGGCAACCATTTTTATGTACTTTTGAAAGAGTTACATCACAAATGATATTTTCAAGCTACGTAAATACTTTTTTTGGTATTAGAATATTATATTGTAACAAAGTAATTTTGTTTAAACAAATAAAAATTATTAACCGAATATGTAAGTGGACACCTTAATTAACATTTCAATAAAAAAAAGATTAGTTTTGCTAATTAACTAGCATTGTTTTTAACAAATGAAGCTGAAATGGCGTCTTGGGGACAATTGTAACAATAAGTAAAGGGACGATTGTAACAGCTGAAAATAAATAATCTTATGTTTACAAACCATTACTTAACTCTTTAAGAACCACATATAGTTTCCTATATCATTTATGCATATCATATAAAATAATGCACATGCAACATAAATGATATAGTTTCCTATATCATTTATGTTGCATGTGCATTATTTTATTTGTCACCTTTCACAGCATAAATTTAAATTTTTAACCCCTTAAAGTTAAAAGTTTAACCCTTTAGGTCTCGGCTCGTTATTATTTTTACTCCTAAAATATCACTACTATTTTGATCAATAAAAAAATATATCACAACTATGATATATGTATATGTATAACTATGTTTTAGTTAAATTTATGAACTGTTACAATTGTTCCCGTAAGTGGGGACAATTGTAACAAGTGCACGACTGTCAAAAATTGTTAATAACTAATATAATAACATTTAAAATAAGGTATTTATTTTTCTTTCTAGTAGAGGATAGTCTACTTTACTCGTCTTTCAATTAAAACTAATAATATATTGGATTTAATGCTAGTTAAAAATAGTTAAGTAATAAATGTTACAATTGACCCCACTCTCCCCTACTGAAAAACACTACGAAATGATGCACGCAACAGGTATATACCAACAAAATTTATAAAGCTGCTTCACCTAACAAAATTTTTATTTTCACTTTAATAGATAATGTACTGATTTTTTAGGGCCTAACAGGTAATGTACTAATTATTCAGATTTTCAGATTACCTTGGTAGTTAGAGAAACTAAATAAATGGTAGTATATAAGTGGAAATAATGAAATAATATTATGAATAATATGAAATGAAATAACATTAAAAAAAACTATAAAGAAATTGTTGCTATATCATAATTTTATGCGCTTTTGTTGTTTTATTTTAAAAACGTGCTGAAAAATAATAAAAACCTGAATAAATATAGTTAGGAATTTTTAGTTTTTGAAAGAGCTTTTAACAACAATGGCTTATGATTTTTTTGTTTTCATTTATCGCAGAGCCAAATGCGTGTCTAGGTTTATGTAACTTATTAACTATTTTCTAGGGGAAAGTATATACTTTTGATAAGTTATTCGGTGCAAACGCATCCCAATTGGAAGTATACAATGATGTTGCTAAGCCTATTGTGACCGGTAAGTAAAATTGTTTATTTTTATTTATGGTGTTTAAAAACTTCTTCCACCGCGTTGCTTTCTTTCAATTCATTTTTTTTTTTCTTCCTGAGAAAAAATTGCCCGAAACTCGAAAGTATTTCTCGATTCTCCTGTAAATGGTAATATATATGTGATTCTAGAGTCATGGTGGCCCAGGGGATAAAGCGTTCGCCTTCCAAAGAGGTGAGCCGGGTTCGATTTTCAGCGATATCTGTTCGACACGAATTCCGCATTGGACTCGCACCGACCACAGTGCTGACGTAAAATATCTTCAGTGGTAGATCGATCAAGGGTTAGAGTCCCCTTCCTATCTGGCAAGCCTTGGGAGGTTTTCGTGGTTTTCCTCTCCATTTAATACAAATGTGGGTTAGATCCATCAAAAAGTCGTAAGCGAAATCAAATTTCTCCCAATACTTGATCCAGGAGTTTCCTTGTCTTCTAGATTGGATTCAAAATTACGGTGTTAAACATTAGTAGTCGTAAACCCAAAAATTTGGATCGGCTATTCAACAGCGGTTTCTAAGAAAAAAAACATTGAAAAATATAATGACGAAATCATGAGTATTTTGTAATGAACAGTCGAAAAATATTTTTTAAATATATTCTGAAATTCGAAATTCTATTAAAAATGGGTTAGAGTGAGTATAAAATTGAATGCATCTTTGATTGGACACATATTTCACAGAGCTTTTATTATAAATGTTATTTTCCTATTATTATGTACATTTCTTATTATTAGAAAATCTCATGTTATTGTTGTCGTAAGCCCTTTATGTACAAGGTGCGATTGTTCTTGCTTTCTAGTGGCGCCATCTATGGCCAAGAATTCAAATTCTGCCAGACAAACGTCACACACCCGTTGACAGAACGGACCTATTCATACATCCATTCATTCATCAACAAATCGTAATTTTCGATTGCCATTCGATCGACCATTTCAATTGCCATTTAAAACTATTTCGATAGCCAGATTCAACTGAGGGATGATTATTAAAAAATAATTTAAGTCTCATCAAGTAGTTTAGTTCGACTGATTTTGATGCCAATCACACACAATTCCGTCTTCTTTACTAGCTCTTCGACAGATTTCGATAATGTTTTTTTCCTTTTTACTTCCTCGCTTAAATATATGTTTTGGATCACTCTATTTAGTGTTAAGGACATTATTTCCTTTACATTAACTCTAGCTTTAATTTATGGCACTTTCAGCTTGCTTCAATTCGAATTTCATCACAAAATTTTCGTTTTGTGTTCTGCGTTAATGCCAACATTTAATACGTATAAAGGGTGTTAAAAATAACTTTCATTTTATATTTTATAGGTGTTTTTAATGGCTTCAATGGTACTATTCTTGCGTATGGGCAGACTTCAAGTGGCAAGACTTACACCATGGAGGTAAAAACTCGAACATTTTTATGAACATAGTAAAAGCAATGAATTACACTTTTCATTCGATAAGTTTTCCGGAAAATGCGATGTTATCAATTCTTATAAATAGTTATTATTTATTTTATTTTAAGAATTCCGGACAATTTTCATAGTTTCTCGAGATAATAAAACACACCAAGAAAATGCTATTGAAGTTTCATTTTAATGTTTTACATCATTTTTAAAGTTTTTATGAGTGCTATAGTTAGAATATAGTTTAATATGATATTATGAACAAATTAAAGGGAAAAATAAACTTTTAATAGATTATATTTAATCAGAACCTGCCTTGCAATAATTAATATGAATTTCTATACATTAATTGGTTATAATCATTTCTATACATAGTATAGGATTTTAAAAAGAGCAAATTAATTTTATTTGTTGATCACTATGAGAGAATGGATTTCGAAAAAGTGACACAAAATCATTGTGCTCCTCGATAAAGTTAGGGAAAATCTTACAAAGAAAATCAGTAAAATGTCACGTGGGAATAAGGGAAATCTTAGTAATTGTAATTGGTTTAATAATTAGGTCGCGCGATTCCCACTAAGAGCAAAGGAGAAAATGTCTTACTTTTAATTAATGCATACTTGAACCAAAAATAGATTAATAGACAGAATGAGAATTTTAAAGTGTGAGAAAGAGTTTTTCGTTTTAAATAATAAATTAAGAAAAGGATATACAGAAAAGGAATAACATAAAGAGATTAATTGAAGCTTTTTATGCTTATATATATATATATATATATANTTCCATATATATAATCAATTGATTATTAATTTAATTCTTCTGAATTTATATGTATATTACTATAATTAAATTTAACTATTTTATTGGAACCGATTCTTGTATAAGAACAACAAAATAATTATTTTACGGAAACAAGAAGACTAAAAGGGGATCTCTTTACTCAGCTTTCATTAAAATAAATAAAAAAGAAAGAGACAGAGAAAACAAAAGGAAATCCAAATCATAGGATAAGATTTAAGCATTATTTTACTATAGTCTAATAATTTTTATGATTTAATACTATTATTAATATATCTTGTTTTCAGGGAGATGTAACAAATGAGGAAAAATACGGGATCATACCTCGTGTAGCCCAGGATATTTTCAACAGAACAGAGTCTTTACAAAACTCGAAATACGAAATAAAAGTAAGTATAAACCTTGAAGACCATTTTATTTTTTTTACAAAAATCTACTCTTGGTATTTCTAACTTTATTGTTGTTCGTTACCTTTTATTCCCAGTTTTCTCCTGTATTCTGCTGTTATTTATCCGATACCTTCCACCAAATTTATTTATTTAGAAAATACCCTTACATTGAGAAAATTCCTATAATTAATATCCAATCAAAATTTAGATATTCTCTTATAGTATTTACAGCAAGTTCTTTGAAAACTTACCTATAAATTTGCATTACTACACAATAAAGTAAGATAAAAAATAAAAAAAAGCATATGAATAAGGTTGTTTTACAGTTATAGTGATGCAGTCAATTTCTTTTTTCTTACTTAAATTTCAGAATATTTACGAAAACTTATAAATGAGTTTAAAAATTGTCTTGCTTCAAATCTCCCACAGGTTAGGGAAAATACGGAAAACCTAGAATAGTCAGAGAATTTTACCTTAGCTCTAAAATGCAGGGAAGGAAAAATTGCAATTTTTTTTTACAAAAAATCAGGAAAATTCCTTGAATATACCTGGAAAATAACCATTCTTAAAATTGTGAGTAACAGTAATAAGTTATTGAGATTCGAGTTAAATAATTTTAACATTTATTACAGTTATTTGATGAAATTCCACTTTTTAGGGAAATTTTTACACGCCTCCTTACTCATTCTATGATATGTTTTTGCTCACAAAATCTAATATTTGGCATTACGAATAAAAGAATATCAACGTTTTTTGATGAAAAACTTTATGGTATAGATAAAATATGTTATGGATTTAATTTTAAATTTTAATTGGAAATTTAAATGGAAATTTACCTATTTTATTCAGAGAATTTTTTTTCTGAAATTAAGTGGGAGTCTTGTGTTATGAAAGGGCTATTGGGCTTCCGTCAAAAGTTAAAATTTTTTCTGCCGATTTAATTTGGAAGAAATTTTTTCAATTTGTTGACTTACAAATTCTTAAAATGTTCTCGTCTAGCAAATATTCTAAAAGTGTAATATTTTTCAAAAAAAAATTCTAACATTTTCAAAAATTTATTGTTCTTTTTATATTTACTATATTGCTGTCTAAAATAAATTAAAATGCAGTAATAAAAGAAGAAAAAAATTTTACATAAAGAATTAATTCTAATAAAATGAGTTCGTTTTCATGTTTTATTTTTAGATTTCGTTTTATGAGATATACCTGGAGAAAATACGCGATTTGTTCAATGGTAAGATCCCACCTTTGGTAAATCGATATTCATATTATTTTCTCATAAAATAGAATCTCCTAATTTATTTAAACTTTTCATCTTTCAGACTCACAGAAGGCCAATTTAAAAGTTTATGATGATAAGAAGAGTTTGCCTTTCATTGTGGTAAGTATTAATTGAACATGCATTTAGCTCTTTATTTTTAAATTTATTTAAATCCTTTTTTGAATTTTTATTTTACTCGCAATTGATGACTTAAAATTTTGTTAATATCCCAGAAGTAAATAATTTTTAAAGAGAAAACACACACCAAATTACAGTCAATGTGAGCATTTTTTAATTAAAAAGAATCCTTTCAGAAGATTCATTTAAAATGTTTTCATTGTGATAAGCATGACTAGCAAATGCATTGACCTATTTTTTTAAAGACGTCATGGATTTTTATTTCACTTGTAATTGATATTTTCAAATTTTATTAACATCCCAAAAGTTAATTTTCAAATATAATGCACACATCAAATTGCAGTTAATGTAAGCATTTTTTACTTTTAAAGAAAGTTACCAACGTTAAAAATTCAATTCAAGCGAAAAATGTTTTCAGTTTGATTTTGAAACGCTTTGATTACAAATTTAATTCAATTTAGTTCAGTAGCATACACGTCTCATTTCGAAATTCAAAATCAATTCAGACAGGTCATAACTCAAGGTGGTTGAATCATAAACGTCTTAATTACAAATTCAAAACCCACTTAATTAAAATTTGTAGCATACACGCCTCATTTATGGTTTCTAAACCCACTGAATTAGATTATGACGCGTTAGGAAGTTATGAAACTTTTTGCTTAGAACACTTGTTTCATTGACTTTCTTTTATAGGGAGGCAAAGAGATAAGTGTCACAAACGTGAATGAGATTATGGATCTTTTTACAAAAGCAAAATTGAAGAGGCACGTTGCTGCTACAGGTAAGTGACTTGGTGCTTATTTTATTTGGCATGCAGGGTGTCTGCTAAGTATCACAATTCACATACATTATTAGATTGCTTATCATATATTAAGTGAAGGAAGAATTCACATTAAGAGAACGAAATTTTTCATCTGAAAATTTCATTCAGGTATAGAAAAAGTGAGTTAAGGCAAACGTAGAGTAAGCCACGGAAGTTGAAAAAGAAATGTTAAAAATATGAAAATGCAGATAAATTATTGGAAGAGAATTTACTCATTACGTAATCCTAAGTTATCCTCACATAATTTGTTTTCATTTTGATATTTTTAAAATTTCTTTTTCAGCAATTGAAACTTCCATAGCTTACTCTACTTTTGCCTGAACTCGCTTTTTCCGTACTTTAATTTTTAAATGACTTATGGAAGCTAAAGAGAATTAGATATGAAAAGTTTCTCCCGTGATGTAGTGTTCTCTTAAGACTAGCAAATTCAATATCAAACAGAGAGAAATGCGAAACAATATTAAAATAGAAGAAGAAGGTTGAATTAAAAATATTCCCTTATACGCGTGTTTCGAATAATTATTTAGTAGTCTTTGATGAACAGCCGATCCGATTTTGGGTTTACGACTACTAATGTTCCACTACGTGGTCTTGTAATTTTGAGCCCAATCTAGAAGACAAGGAAACTTCTGGAAATTCGACTTCGTGGAGGAATTTTTGATGGAAGAAACCCGCATTTGCGTTACATGGAGAGGAAAATCGCGAAGACTCCCATGATTATCCTGTCGGCAAAGGGACCCTTACCCACGATCCGTCTTCCACTGATGATATTTTACGTTAGCAGTGTGATCAGTGCAAGCTGGGTGCGAAACTCAAATAGAATTCCTGCCATCGCTGGGATTCGAACCCGATTCACCTGATTGGAAGGCGAATCCTCCGAGCCATCATGGCTCACACGAAACCTATATTTTATTTTATAACCATTGTTGAACAGCCGACCCAGTTTTCTGTTTGCACTAATAATTATTTTCCGACACCTCACTGGTTTCAATCGGCAATGAATAAGTTTTAGTGTTTAATAGTAATTAGTCAGATTTAGACAGCGTTTTCCTTTTGCCCTAGCCTAAATATTAATCTGAGAGGCCCAATCAACGTCTTTTATTATTCACTTATTAATAGAATCCTAAGAATGTATATTAAGGACAGTCTTTGCAGAACACCAAGTTTATGTTAAATACTGAGGTTCAATGCGGGAAAAAGAATTTCTATATTTATTATATTCTATTTTTTTATTACAGATATGAATGAGCTCAGTTCCAGGAGTCATACTATTTTCCAGATCGTGATTAAACAAGAAAATTTCACTACACGTAAAAAGCTTATTGGAAAGCTACTTCTAGTAGATTTAGCTGGCAGCGAGAAGGTAATAATGGCATATTACAAATATAATTTTTTTTATAGCTGCCAACTCTATTGGATTTTCCAGTAGATTACTACGTGTTGCCAGTTTCCTTTCGGTCTACTGGTTTAATAAAAATTCACCTGGCTTTTGCACATTTTAGAAAATTCTCCAAAATTGAAAGAGTTTCGTTGAAAATTCTCTATTTAAATAGAATTTTTGTACAGATTATTGCTTGCTTTAATATGTAAATAAGTGTCAGTAATGCATAATAAAGCGAGCCTCACTTATAAAATTCAGTCAACTATCCTTAACAAATTAAATGTCTATTATTATTCAAAATTATGAATAAGCATAATACATAACATTTCAGGATCATTTAATGTAAAATACAAACTGGAAATTATTGCAGTTTTTACTTTTTATTTTGATGGCTTTAAAAATCCCCATTGAAATAAAAATTTTAATGCTTGCTTGAATATTTAAATCAGTATCACTAATACATAATAAAGCGAGCCTCATTTATTAAAACCAGTTAACTATGTGTGCTGAATTAAATGCCCATTACTATTCAAAACTATGTGCTAGCATAATTCATAACATATCAAGTTCATTTAATGTAAATCATAACTCGAAAATATTGCAGTTTTTTTTTGTTTTCTTTTGGGATGATTAAATATTCCTGAAATTCCTAATGCGTAAAATGTTTAGTACATTTTGTTATTAGTATTAAGACATTTATATTATTTCGTAAAATCTACCGGTTTTTTTCCCTATCCATGTTGGCAGCTATGATTTTTCTAATTTTCATTAACGATGTAGACATGCAAGAAATTTATTCTTAACATTTTTAAGAAAGAAAGTATAAACTAACCATTAATGTTTTTAATCGAGTAGGCTGAAATAATTCTTTTAAATAATGAGGAATGTATATCAGAATTCATACGTCTCAGAGAAAATAAGATTAGTCCGAACCTGGAAATCTTAAGGAAGTTAAAGTTACTTTGAAAAACTTGAAAAATGAGAATTTTCTAGTATTTAACAGCATCCGAAATATTTAACTTTCCAAGAACCCTTTCTTTAATTCCTCTAAAGATTTTTTAAGAAATAATTATTTTATTCATAAGTTCTCCTTCCTCCCATAAAATTGTCTATTTTTCAATGCAAATTTTGTATGTGGTTATTTCTGTTGATGCAACAATTTTCGGCAAGAAAAATTCTTTTATTGAATCGCATGAAAATTTATTTACTGTAATTAAATCGTTTTTTAATGCAGTTAAATAAGGACTAGGAGGCTTCGCCCCCTGCTCGCTGGCGCTCGCCAACCCCCGGAACTGCTTTCGCAGTTCATTTCGGANTTGTTGAGCTTCTGAACCAAAGGTAAAAATTTTTTATTATTTTCGAAGTTTTTAGACAATCTACAATAGCAGTTTTTTTTAAAGAATTTCGCTAAAGTGTTGAAGTTTTTATTTAAATTTGACAGTTTGACTTGTAGGTATCAATCATATAGTTTGCAGGAATGGTATTGAAGTATTCAACTTTCATCATGCTTTTAAAATTAAATTATTTTTCTATTCTCGTGTTTTCGAGCTTTTAAAATTGTTATTCAGAAATTCTGGGAAACTCAGTAACTTTTTTTTCTCGAAATATAAACTGTGAATCCTGGGAAAAAGTTCAGGGAAACTGAGTGACTTTTTTTTATCTCCAAATATAGAGTTGAATTCTGTGTAGAAATTCAGGGAAACTCAGTCACATTTTTATCTCCAAATATAGAGTTGAATTCTGTGCAGAAATTCAGGCAAACTCAGTGACTTTTTTATCTCCAAATATAGATAGTGTATCATGTGTACAAATTCAAGGAAACTAGGTGACTTTTTTTTTCTCCAAATATGGTGTGAATCCTGTACTATAAGACAGAAATGGTGGAGTTATTGTTTTTGTTATAATATAATATTCTAATTGGATTATTCGATTTAATTAGCTTTGTTTTCAGACTTAAAGAGGAATAAAAAAGCAATATACAGTAACTAATGGACCTAAATTGTTATTTTTCCCCTTAACGACAAGAAGCAGCAATTGTACTAAACTTTCTTTTATGAATGGACCTACTAAATAATTTTAATGAATCCACTAGTTTTTGTCACAATCAGCTTTTTTCCTAATGTTTTTTGTCAGGATTACCGCTCCACCAGGAGAACAGGAAAAACCTGAAAAATACAGGGAATTTAAAAATTGCCTAAAATAACTGGAAAAAAAGTAGGGAATTTCGAATTTTTCGTAAGAAACTGGGAAAATACAGGAAATTTTGTCTCTTATTTTCATTTTTTAAAAAAATATAACCACTCAAAGTGTAATCTATGGGATATTCAAGGATGATATTTCAGCTATGTTAAACTAGTTCATTTACTATAGCATGCATTATTTGTTTCAAGTATATTCAGCTGGTCCTTTTTTCTCAAAGTTTTTTCAGCAATTACAACAAGTATCTTATAATTGCTGAAAATATAATATATATATATATATTATGCTGAAATAAAATATAATATATATGCTCCAATCTGAAATATACCAATAATAGCTCTAACAAGAGCACAGTAATTGTATTTTTCTTCTTAATATCTTGTGTATAATATGTACAGGGAAAATACAGGGAATTTTTTTTTTCCTCCATGTTTGAGTGGCAGCCCTGTTTATAAACTTATTTTACTATCGATTTTATAATAGTTTAACTTTAGAGTAACTTTCTGAATATTTAAAAATTTGATTAAAAATGCTTTTCCCTTTTACGAAATTGACGATATTCTTCAGCCGCATAGAAAAAGCAGAGAGGCTTAATCTTGGCTAATTTTGACCTCACAGTCTTGAATAAATGTTGACTGCAAAATTAGAGAAAAATATAGAATATTATTCACAGAAAAAACCTTTTATGATTTGATGACGGATCAGCTTTAAATGGATTTCATTGTATACTTGAGCCAATCAGCGCACAAGCTGATCTACTTCACTTCCTGAAATATGCCAATGCTTTTGGATGAGTAATCGTATTTTATATTCAGAGTAAAATTCCCAGATAATAAAGTAGAGTAACACCTCTCAACGGCAAGGATTTTCTAAAAATACAAAAGAAATTGTCACAAAAATTAATTTTTATCACAATTTTGACTTTTTATTCTATGAAGTGTGAGTTTGCTGTAAATGTCTAATGTGTCTAGTAAAGTTGTTCTCCAAATAGTTACAAAATTTTATTTTTTAATGTCTGTACTGAGTTATAAATACCATAAGATGAATTTTCCCTTTTCTTATGTACTTTTTATTTATTTACATGCAGGTCAGCCATAAGGACCAAGTTGACTCGACAGTGAAACGTGAATCGACTCATATCAATAAATCACTCTCTGCTCTCACCAGAGTAATATCTCTTCTATCTGAAGGATCGGTAAGTAAAAAATAAATTTTAGTATCTTTTTTGCTGGCGAATAAATTCTATAGTTGAAAATGGAGCCGTGATGGCTCAGGGCATAGAGTAGCCGTCTTTCAATGAGGTGAACCCGGTTTGAATCTCGGCGATGACTTGTGTATACGAAAACTGAATCTAGTTTGCACCGACCACAGTGCTGACGTAAAATATCTTTAAATGGTAGACGTATCACGGGCTAGAGTCCCTTTGCCGTCATACTAACCATCGGAGGTTTTCCTCTGCATGCAACTCAAATGCGTGTTACTTGCATCAAAATGTCCTCCACGAAGGCAAATTTCTCCTAATACTTGATCCAGGAGTTCCCTTGTCTTTTGGATTGGGTTCAAAATTACAAGGCTTGTGCGTTGAACATTAATAGTTGTATACCCAAAAAGTTGGGTCGGCTGTTCAATGACGGTTATAAAATAAATGGCTCAGGGGATAGAGCGTTCGCCTTCCATTAAGTTAAACCGGGTTAGAATCCCAGCGATGGCTGGTCGATACGGATTCCGCATCCGGTTACTACAGACCACAGTGCTGACATGAAATATCCTCAAGTGGTAGACGTATCACAGGTTAGAGTCCCCTTGCTGTCAGACTAACTGTGAGAGTTTCTTGTGTTTTTCCTCACCATGTAACTCAAATGTGGGTTAGTTCCATCAAAACGTCATCCACGAAGACCAATTTCTTCCAATGCTTGATCCAGGAGTTCCATTGTCATCTGGATTGGGTTCAAAGTTACAAGGCTACGCAGTTGACATTTATAGTTGTAAATCCAAAAAGTTGAGTCAGCTGTTCAATTACGGTTATAAAATAAAACATAGTAGGAAACGAATGATGCATGATGTACGAAAAGTTGTAACATTGGATGCAGAAATCTTAAAGTACACAGTATTATTACTGAATTCAGTAATTTATTAAGGGGTATTTCCTGTATTTTTATGTTCTAATTTATTAAGATCTTTATAAAAATCTATTGGTAGTATGATCATTTCATGCTGTTTCATTTTTTTACCCTATTCTGCTTGGATCACGTGTCTGCTCAAGCACAGTGAGAACTGCAAAGTACCCCACCACAATTTTCAGTCACAAATTTTTTTTTAAAAATGCTGAAACTCGTTTTTAAATTTTCTCTAATATTGTTCCTAATGAAAATTTAAAACACGTTTTGAGACAAAGATCAAAAAGTGAAGATTTTTTTTCCTGTTATTAATGTTACTTGATTACATGCTTTTATTGCGTAAGCAAAGGTGCTAACTCTACTGGATTTTCCAGTATAGACTACTGGATTTTACCAGTTTCTCCTGGTTTACTGGTTTAATAAAAATTTTCCTAGTTTTTTTACATTTTTTAAAAATTTTCTAAAATTGAGTAAGTTTTTTAAAAAAATCCCTATTGATATAGATTTTCTTGGTAGATTATTACTTGAATGAATATTTAAATAAGTTTTACTAATACATAATGAAGCGAGTCTCATTATTAAAAATCAGTTGAAAACTTTTCTTTTGTTCTAAATAGATCAGCTTATTTTGAATTTTCTTTTCAATTAATTTTCAATGTCTTTGAATTATCTTTGATGTGCCTATTACTATTCAAATTTAGGAGTAAACCTTATATATTACATTAAAAGTTTATCGAATGTAAATCATAATTGAAAATATTTCAGTCTTTCCATTTCGACGACTATAAAAATCCCTTAAAATTCCCTATATTTAAGCGACATTAGGCGACAATTATCATGAAGTTTATATTATTTCGTAAAATCTACTGGATTTTTTCCTCTCCATGCTGGCGGCTGTGTTACTTTAACTCATTTAATATTTTAATATTTTAAATATTCATTGAAATATCTCTTAACTTTTTACGCATTATTTATTTTGTAACATCTATTGGATTTTTTCCTATCCATGAAGGCGGCTATGTATAAGCATTGATTACATGCCTTTATTGTCTGGTAGGATTTCACTTATTGTATTCCAGACTTTTTTTTAAAAAAATATCGCGGAGTAATAAAATTAAATTAGAAGGATTTTAACTAACATAATACATAGAAGTGCATGATAGAACATTTTCGTCCTATCCCAAGTCAATATTCTTGATGGTCCCATCAGAAAATTTAGATGGTTTATTTTGACTCTAGTGTGATTGATGATGGTCCGACATCCTTTGATGGTCACCATCATCCAACATTTTCCATTATGTGTTTATGGTTTTTGATATACCAACAAATTCCCATCATTCCATAAGGGAAATGCTACAATAATATGATGGTTATGAGAAACTTTTGATGGTTTATTTTGGCTCTAGTGAGACTGATGATGGTCCGACATCCTTTGATGGTCACCATCATCCAACATTTTCCATTATGTGTTTATGGTTTTTGATATAGCAACAAATTCCCACCATTCCATAAGGGAAATGCTACAATAATATGATGGTTATGAGAATATTTTGATGGTTTATTTTAGCTCTAGTGTGATTGGTGATGGTCCGACATCCTTTGATGGTCACCATCATCCAACATTTTCCATTTTGTGTTTATGGTTTTTGATATACCAACAAATTCCCATCATTCCATAAAGGAAATGCTACAATAATATGATGGTTATGAGAATATTTTGATGGTTTATTTTGGCTCTAGTGTGATTGATGATGGTCCAACATCCTTTGATGGTCACCACCATCCAACATTTTCCATTATGTGTTTATGGTTTTTGATATACCAACAAATTCCCATCATTCCATAAGGGAAATGCTACAATAATATGATGGTTAACCATCAAGAGAAGCTCTATTCCGATGGACCAACTACCGATGATAATCCTTGATGGTTCCATGACGTTTAATGGAAGTTCCTGTTGGTTCCCAGGAATATACAATCAAAAAAAAAATTTTTTTTTCATTTTGCACCATCATAAATCAGTCCGAATTCTTACATTAGGATGATGGTTGCTCATGATCGTTTCAACATTTAATTTCTAAGATACTATGAGCGAAATTCATGATGGTTAGCAATGGTAAAACAATACATTTCCATGATGGCTTATTAATAATTCTTGTTGGTTGAGCAGGAATATACCATCCAAACAATTTGGTTTCTTATTTTGGTCTATCTTAAATCAGGCCGAATTTCTACATTGGGGTAATGGTGGTTCAAAACCGTGCCAACATTTGATTTATAAGAAATTATGATGGAAATGTTTGATGCTCCAACATGAACAAACTGTCAAATCAAGCTGCTATTCTTATGTTGGACCATCAGAAAATATAATGGTTCATGATGTAATATTTGATGGTCGCCATCAAGATCATGTTGGTTCATCTATGGAGAACCATCAAAAATTTTAACTTGGGATGGTAATAAATGTAATGTCTCCATGTAAATAGTTGAACCTGTTTATCTCGAACCTCTTTATCTCGAAAACCTCTATATCTCAAAATTTTTAAAATTCCCTACATTTACTGTCTAAAATTAATGTATTTTTCATGTTTATGTCGATTTTTTTCTTTTTTCAAAACCTCTGTTTCTCGAATTTCTAATAATAGAGCACAAATGTCAAAACTTTCCTTATCAGTAGAACTCGTAGACAGAGATGAATTTCGTGAATCCACAGGAAGTAGGGATGAACAGGATGGGGTGTTTCCTTGAATTTCAATCACTATCCCTGCACTTCTTTAACTTGAAAGGAATACAATGATTCTGCCAGTAAGTGAGGGGTTAATGAGTAGTGACCATCAGGGGTTAGCTTTTCAACAAAGATAAGAAAGCTAAAAATAGAAATACATTTTGACCTCAAAATTGCAACCAATGGATCAAAGGATAATTAAGAGTTTTAAAGTGAACTATAGAAAACAATCTATGAGGAATTTGCGATTTTTCTAACCTCAAAATAATAATAGAAACAAATAAGGTTATCAGTCAAAAATCTTATTACAAAAATTATTTTCAGTTTTAAATGTATGTTAAAAAACTGTTATGTAAATAGGTGTATGTGGTATAATTAATTTAAAGAAATGTCTATATTTTTCTACTAAAAACANCGATCTATGAGGAATTTGCGATTTTTCTAACCTCAAAAGAATAATAGTTATCAGTCAAAAATCTTGGAAAATTATTTTCAGTTTTAAATGTATGTTAAAAAACTGTTATGTAAATAGGTGTATGTGGTATAATTAATTTAAAGAAATGTCTATATTTTTTTTACAAAAAACAAAGCACTTTCAATGGAATTTCTTAATTAAATTTAATTTTTTTCTAGTACCTGTATAACTCGAAACCTCTTTATCTCGAATTTTTTGCCTTTCCCGTGAGATTCGAGATAAACAGGTTCGACTATTTCGCACTCAAAATCTATTTTCTTACCTTTGCAGAAAGCTGTTGTGTTTTATAGAGATAGCCTCCTCACTCGACTGTTAAAAGAGAGTCTGGGTGGTAATTCACAGACAGCGATCATCGTCTGCGTAGATCCTTCGTTCGAAAATGAAACAAAGTTGTCTTTGGATTTCGGAAACAGGTATGTATTTAGCCACAGTCCACTTTTATCACTAGAAATCATAGCTGCCAACTCGACTGGATTTTCCAGTAAACTAGAGGATTTTGCCAGGTCTACTGATTTAAATAAAATGTCTTCAAGTTTTTGAACATCTTAGAAAATTCCCTAAAATTGAGTAAGTTTTCTTAAAAAAAATCTCTACTGAAATATAATTTTTTTGCTCCGATTAATTCTTGTTTGAATATTTGAATAAGTAGTACTAATTTACAATGAAACGAGCCTCATTTATAGAAATCAGTTTAAAACTTTTTTTTTTGTTCAAAGATTTTCAGTTTTCTTTTATTTAGAATTCCCTTTTTAAATTAGTTAAGAAATATTGATGTAATAAATGCCTACTACTACTCAAACTTATGAGTAAACATTATGCCTAACATTTGTAGTTTATTTAATGTTAATCATAACTGGATGATATTGCAGTTTTCCTATTTTGATAATTTTAAAAATTCCCAAAAATTCCTTATGTGTAAAATATTTAGTAAATTATGCAACAATTGAACTTAATTTTATTCTGTAAAATCTTCTGGATTTTTTTTTTCTATCCATGTTGGCAGCTATGAAAAATGCTTCTGAGATGTGGTGGCTCAGGTGATAGAGCCTTCAGGTCGTTTAATTAATTAATGTTATGATTATTAGGGCCAAAGTGATACAAAATAATATTCACCTGAATGAAAAATATTGTGGAAGTAAGCTGAGTAGATTTCTGGGTCGATTTTTGCCTAAAAATGACGTTTATTTGAAGGAATTTGTATCTGAGTTGAAACGATGGAGAAATGGTAAGTTTTTTTTTTTATTAATTTGTTACTTTGATTTATGTATTTTTATGATTTATCAATAATTATTGTCAGAATGAATCCTGTTAGGTTATAAGTTCACCGGATCACTATGATTGTGACTAACACTAATGTTGTGCAGGTTTCGAGTGGGAAAAAATTATCTGATATTAGTCCAAACACAGAATATCAGCGCGCATGGATTTCAACCTTTACCAAAATGTGTGTTGAGAAATTATGATTTTCAGTAAAGAATACTTTACTAAAAAGAAGAAGTAGGTTAGGTACTTTATACCGCACTAGAGCTGCACAACGGGCGACGATCAAGGAAACATCCCTGTGGATGATCCGAAGACATGCCACAGCGATTTTGATCCTCTGCAAGGGGGCGGCACCCCTGCTTTTGTAGCCCGTCGACCTGCACGCGAAGTCGAGCATTTTACGGTGGAACAGTTTAACGAGGATCGATACCACGATCCAGATTTTGCAAAGCGTTACTGGTTCTCGTAACTCGAACATTAACGCTATTTGAGACTTATAGGGCAAGTATAAAAGTTTCCCTAGAAATCGCATTGGTGAGGGGTAGAAAATAAAATTAGCGTTACGGTTAAAATAACAAAAACTCTATTATCTTAGATTCTGCAAAGCGTTACGGTTTCTAGTAACTCGAACATTAGCGCTATTTGAGACTTGTAGCTCATGTTTAAAACTTTCCTTAGAAATCGCATTGTTAGCGAAGTGTGGAAAATAAAATTAGCGTTACTGTTAAAATAACAAAAACTGTATGATCTTAGATTCTGCAAAGCGTTACGGTTTCTAGTAACTCGAGCATTAACGCTATTTGAGATTTATAGCTCATGTTTAAAACTTTCCTTAGAAATCGCATTGTTGGCGAAGTGTGGAAAATAAAATTAGCGTTACTGTTAAAATAACAAAAACTGTATGATCTTAGATTCTGCAAAGCGTTACGGTTTCTAGTAACTCGAGCATTAACGCTATTTGAGATTTATAGCTCATGTTTAAAACTTTCCTTAGAAATCGCATTGTTGGCGAAGTGTGGAAAATAAAATTAGCGTTACTGTTAAAATAACAAAAACTGTATGATCTTAGATTCTGCAAAGCGTTACGGTTTCTAGTAACTCGAGCATTAACGCTATTTGAGATTTATAGCTCATGTTTAAAACTTTCCTTAGAAATCGCATTGTTGGCGAAGTGTGGAAAATAAAATTAGCGTTACTGTTAAAATAACAAAAACTGTATGATCTTAGATTCTGCAAAGCGTTACGGTTTCTAGTAACTCGAGCATTAACGCTATTTGAGATTTATAGCTCATGTTTAAAACTTTCCTTAGAAATCGCATTGTTGGCGAAGTGTGGAAAATAAAATTAGCGTTACTGTTAAAATAACAAAAACTGTATGATCTTAGATTCTGCAAAGCGTTACGGTTTCTAGTAACTCGAGCATTAACGCTATTTGAGATTTATAGCTCATGTTTAAAACTTTCCTTAGAAATCGCATTGTTGGCGAAGTGTGGAAAATAAAATTAGCGTTACTGTTAAAATAACAAAAACTGTATGATCTTAGATTCTGCAAAGCGTTACGGTTTCTAGTAACTCGAGCATTAACGCTATTTGAGATTTATAGCTCATGTTTAAAACTTTCCTTAGAAATCGCATTGTTGGCGAAGTGTGGAAAATAAAATTAGCGTTACTGTTAAAATAACAAAAACTGTATGATCTTAGATTCTGCAAAGCGTTACGGTTTCTAGTAACTCGAGCATTAACGCTATTTGAGATTTATAGCTCATGTTTAAAACTTTCCTTAGAAATCGCATTGTTGGCGAAGTGTGGAAAATAAAATTAGCGTTACTGTTAAAATAACAAAAACTGTATGATCTTAGATTCTGCAAAGCGTTACGGTTTCTAGTAACTCGAGCATTAACGCTATTTGAGATTTATAGCTCATGTTTAAAACTTTCCTTAGAAATCGCATTGTTGGCGAAGTGTGGAAAATAAAATTAGCGTTACTGTTAAAATAACAAAAACTGTATGATCTTAGATTCTGCAAAGCGTTACGGTTTCTAGTAACTCGAGCATTAACGCTATTTGAGATTTATAGCTCATGTTTAAAACTTTCCTTAGAAATCGCATTGTTGGCGAAGTGTGGAAAATAAAATTAGCGTTACTGTTAAAATAACAAAAACTGTATGATCTTAGATTCTGCAAAGCGTTACGGTTTCTAGTAACTCGAGCATTAACGCTATTTGAGATTTATAGCTCATGTTTAAAACTTTCCTTAGAAATCGCATTGTTGGCGAAGTGTGGAAAATAAAATTAGCGTTACTGTTAAAATAACAAAAACTGTATGATCTTAGATTCTGCAAAGCGTTACGGTTTCTAGTAACTCGAGCATTAACGCTATTTGAGATTTATAGCTCATGTTTAAAACTTTCCTTAGAAATCGCATTGTTGGCGAAGTGTGGAAAATAAAATTAGCGTTACTGTTAAAATAACAAAAACTGTATGATCTTAGATTCTGCAAAGCGTTACGGTTTCTAGTAACTCGAGCATTAACGCTATTTGAGATTTATAGCTCATGTTTAAAACTTTCCTTAGAAATCGCATTGTTGGCGAAGTGTGGAAAATAAAATTAGCGTTACTGTTAAAATAACAAAAACTGTATGATCTTAGATTCTGCAAAGCGTTACGGTTTCTAGTAACTCGAGCATTAACGCTATTTGAGATTTATAGCTCATGTTTAAAACTTTCCTTAGAAATCGCATTGTTGGCGAAGTGTGGAAAATAAAATTAGCGTTACTGTTAAAATAACAAAAACTGTATGATCTTAGATTCTGCAAAGCGTTACGGTTTCTAGTAACTCGAGCATTAACGCTATTTGAGATTTATAGCTCATGTTTAAAACTTTCCTTAGAAATCGCATTGTTGGCGAAGTGTGGAAAATAAAATTAGCGTTACTGTTAAAATAACAAAAACTGTATGATCTTAGATTCTGCAAAGCGTTACGGTTTCTAGTAACTCGAGCATTAACGCTATTTGAGATTTATAGCTCATGTTTAAAACTTTCCTTAGAAATCGCATTGTTGGCGAAGTGTGGAAAATAAAATTAGCGTTACTGTTAAAATAACAAAAACTGTATGATCTTAGATTCTGCAAAGCGTTACGGTTTCTAGTAACTCGAGCATTAACGCTATTTGAGATTTATAGCTCATGTTTAAAACTTTCCTTAGAAATCGCATTGTTGGCGAAGTGTGGAAAATAAAATTAGCGTTACTGTTAAAATAACAAAAACTGTATGATCTTAGATTCTGCAAAGCGTTACGGTTTCTAGTAACTCGAGCATTAACGCTATTTGAGATTTATAGCTCATGTTTAAAACTTTCCTTAGAAATCGCATTGTTGGCGAAGTGTGGAAAATAAAATTAGCGTTACTGTTAAAATAACAAAAACTGTATGATCTTAGATTCTGCAAAGCGTTACGGTTTCTAGTAACTCGAGCATTAACGCTATTTGAGATTTATAGCTCATGTTTAAAACTTTCCTTAGAAATCGCATTGTTGGCGAAGTGTGGAAAATAAAATTAGCGTTACTGTTAAAATAACAAAAACTGTATGATCTTAGANAATTTTAATTTAATTAAATTTTAATTTAATTAAATTTTAATTTAATTAAATTTTAAATTAATTAAGTTTTGATTTAATTAAATTTTAATTTAATTAAATTTAAATTTAATTAAAGTTTTATTTAATTAAATTTTAATTTATTAAATTAAATTTTAATTTAATGTAATATAATTCAATTAATTTAATTTAATTTTAAACTTCTTAATTGTCAAAGTGATTGAAAAGGTAGTTCTAAATAAATTTTTAAACCTCTTAGTTTAATTAAATTTTAAATTGATTAAGTTTATTTGAATTAATAAAATTTTTAATTAATTAAGTTTATTTAAATTAATTCACTTTTAATTAATTGAATTTTACTTAAATTAATACTAATCTAATTAATTATAACTTAATTAAGTTAAATTTTAATTTAATTAATAACTTAATTAATAATAATTTAATTAATTTTAATTTAATTAATAATACATTTTTAAACCTCTTAATTTAATTTTCACAAGTAAATTGAAGGTTGTTACTTTCTCTATCTTTCGATATTAAGCGTGAGATAACTCAGATCTCTAATTAATTTCTGTTACAAAATTAGTCCAACACAATGATTAGAATCAGCAGTTTTTGAAATGTAGCTAAATAGTATAAAGTTGACTGCTTTTAAAATTTCGATAAGCATCTTTGTTTTTATGCACTCAACACTAAAATAATTTATAAACATCGTCCAATTCAGTTTTGTAAAATTTCAAACTGAAATAAAATTTAATTTTAAAAAACCAAAGAACTAGGAAATGTGAAGTTTTCAATAACTTACTCAGAATAACATATTGCGTGTTTTTAACGCTTTAACATTTCGAGGGAGAAAAAATCAAAATTATCGTGTGTTATTATTTTTAATCTAATGAAACGACCCCTTTTTTCTGACTTCTTGTCAAGAATTTTACTTCTGAATCACCAATAATCAGCTTTGTACAATACAAAGTGTTGCTAAAACAAAAATTAAAAATTTAATCAGAAAATCAAAAATCCACGATAGGAATTTTCTTTATTGCTGCTAAAAAGCAAAACTGAATCTTATTTGGCGTATCCTTATACAACAGTCAGACTTCTATTTAACGAACTTTAATTTTGCGAGTTTCTCTATTTTGCGATTTTTGTCGAAGAACCAAAAACATTTTATTTCAAACTTGTTAACGCATTTGCATTTTTCGAAGCCACCTAACTTTTAAGGAAAGCAGTAAAATCCCTTTCCCTTTTTGTTTGCATTTCCAACGAAAAACTCAGATAAAATTAAGCAATTAATTTCAAGAACGCATGTGGCAATATATGTTTAAAATTACTTTTATGTTAAATGCAGCCCTAATGTTATACATAAATTTAGTAATCTTTTTACTTGAAAGTGTATGTAGCGTGATAGTGTAACACTGGATAACGTATTGCTTTATTCTTGTTTTCCATGCAGATTTCTTTTATGGTTAAGATTTATAAAATAAATCAAAATAAAGGTGTATCAATTGCTATTTTAGTTATGTCTAGTGGTTATGAATTTAAAACCTGATTTTTGTTGTTGAAGTATTTCTAAAGGTAATTTTCCATTTAACGAATTTTCCATATAACGAATTAATTAAAGTGATTTAGCGACTTAATAATTATTAATAAAATAGTTATAGTCCATTCCACCTTAAGTTGGCACTGGAGAGAAAGGTAGGAAATGTAATACTCCGCCTTTGAAAAGTAGTTCTTCGCTATTTTGGAATTAATTGCAGTTTAAATGCGCGTACAAATATAAACAAATGTTGCATAGTAAGAAAAGTATATCTTGAAACATTCATTAGAAGTTTTTCATGTTTAAATGTATTTAACTTATAATACCTTCTCAGTAAAGCGAATGTACAAAGAAGAAGGAGGTGTTTTAGTTTGGCGCTGAATTAGTTTTCAAGGACAAGGAATTGGCTCATTGGCTATGTNATCTTAAAATAATAATTATGAGAAATGCTCTAAAAAATCGTGCTCTTTTCCGTATTCTGTACAAAATTTTAGTACGATTCTTGGTTTTAAAAAAAAGATCGGCGTTTTGCTTTCTTAAACGCCAATACTGGCCACTTTCTCTTCCTTTGTTGCTATCTCATCCCCGTACTGACTAAAAGAGTAACCCAGTTTCCATGTAATCCGGTCTACCTACCTTTCTCTCCAGTGCCAACTTAAGGTGGAATGGACTATAATAGTTAATTAGAGGCCCGACTGTATTTTTCTATTTGAAAAAGAGTATTGTAAAAATTTGATTCGGTGAGTTGCATTCCCTTAAAACCTTCACTTATACATAAATAATAATTTTTTTTTACAGGCAAAGCAAGAGTTGGATTTGGTCACAAAAAAGCTGAATACACAATTCGAAGAGTTGGAGCAATTGAAGATGAGCCAAAGTGAAGAATATTCTAATTGCAGGGAGGTTAAGGTTTCTCACGAATTTTTAGCGAGCATCTACTCCCATTTAATTGATAGAACCGAAAAAATAAAGTCTTTGGAAACAATAATTGCTGAAAAAGATCATGATCTTGAATGTTACCTTATTCACATGAAGATAATGCAAAAGAAAGAAGAAACCGTGAAAGATCAATTGATTTTAAAAAATAAACAGCTTTATGGAGAATTAAAAGCAAAGGAAGATTGTGATTTTTCTCGTTTTCAGTCTGGGAAAATTTCTGTCACGTCTTACGGAAGTGATGAAAAGGATAAAAAAGCTGCGGAATTGTTGAAAATATCAGAGCAATCAAATTATTTTGTTGAAAACAAAGACTCCAGCGAAGGTCAAAACTCGGTGGACTTCCTATACAAAAAAGTAGTGGAAGAACTTAAAGCGTATTTTGCTTATAATTATGAAGCATTACAGGAAAATAGTGGCATTGTAGTTGAGAAAAATAACGATATTTTGCCTCAACAGCTCTCCTTACACGAAAAAATGCTAGAAGAACTTTTACTATATTTCAATACGCGGAATCAAACTATGCCAAAGGAAGAAGAGGATGAAAATTTTAATGAAAATTTGTCTATACAACTCTCCTTATACAAGAAAGTGATGGAAGAGCTATGTAATTTTTTTTCTAACAAGCACAAAAAACAATCAGATGATACTGTTATGGAAAAGCAGAACCACTCAGTTGTTGGGGAAGAGGGAGATGAGGAAATGGTGGATCTCAGAGAAAAGAATCAGACTCTATCAGAAAACAGTAACAAACATTCAATACTTCCGCTATCCATGCACGACAAACTGTTGGCGGAACTGAATCACTATTTTTCTACTAAACATCAAACAGAAAACCATAAAAACCCGGTCCTCCCCCTCTCTATCCACCAAAAATTATTGAATGAACTTGATGATAACTTTGAAAATAAGCATAAAACTCCATTAGCTGTTCGTAAAAGAGAAGTTTACGATGCACTCTTAGACCATCATCATCACTTATACACGAACTCTCTTTTCGATGAAGAAGAGTCTTGTGAATCTAATCTTACGTTGAAAGCAACTAATGATGAGTCTACTCGATTCATTCAGAAAGCCACAGTAAAGAAGAGGGCAACTGCTCTTCAAAAGGTCAGACCTGTTAGTGCAGCTATGAGTAATAAGCGATGGTCAACTTACTCAGAGTAAGTTTCAAATTATTGCTTCTTGATTTCTCACATAGGTCTCTTTAGGCCGGGATAGCCTGGTTGGTAAGGAACTGGGCCCATTGTCCAAGAGGTCGTGGCTTCGATCCCTGCAGGCCGAGGACTCCCCGTGTAGTAAATGATGACTGACTGACGCGAGCTAAATCTGTCGAGTCACAAAATCCTCCACTTCCCCGCAAGAAATCAATACCTCTGGAGGTATTAATGTAGGAGTTTCTTTGTCTTCTGGATTGGGTTCAAAATTGCAGGGCTACGGAGTTGAACATTAGTAGTCGCAAACCCAAAATTGGGTCGGCTGTTCAACGACAGTTATGGGTATCTTTAACTAGATCACATATTGGAGGAAAAAGTAGCACGCATACTTGTTCATTGTTTCTTTAAATAGAATTTAGTATCGAAATGCCATTTTAAATGCCCGTTTAATGTATTAAGTAAATGAACTTATTAGAGAGGTTTTCTTTTTTTTTCTTTTTTTTTAACTTTCAACAGATAATTAAATGATAAAATTAAACTTTAGAGCAATGTAATATGAAAAGCTAAATTATCATAATAAAGACTTTCCATTCTAATTACAAATTTGAGTGTGGAGAACTTAACTGATAAGTTTAAACTTGAATCCATTTTACATAGGAATTGATGTTGCCAGTATCATTTATCTGAATTCTATATTTTCATGTATGGAATTAGAAAATTTAACAATATATATATTTTTTTCACATTTTACAATTTATTTTGTTATGCTTACAAATTAATTTCTTACAAAAGCACTAGTATGTTTCTTTTGTGGTCAACTCATAAGCTTTAATTTAACGAAATCAATTCCTGTTAGCTTTCGATAATATTCCATTAACTTAACGAAATTTTGATACGATAGCATAAAAAAGTTTTTGTTCGGTCAACTTCTGAAAGGTTTATAGAGTACTTTTTAAAAACAACCCCCTATAAGTTATTTCCCCTATCAACCTGAAATATAGACAAGTGATTAAGTTAAAGATTTGCTCTTTTTTATTATTTAGGATAAGTTTAATTCCTGATAACAGAGGTCAGCTTGACGGTTTTATTATTATTTTTTTTAATATCTTAAGCAGTGTTTCCCAAACTTATGACTTTTGTTTACCCTTACTGTTCCCGTACCCCTGGGGGTACGCGTACCACACTTTGGGAAACACTGTCTTAAGGGAATGCTAATTTTTAGAAATTATTTAAAATTTTCTCGCTTGCCCCTCCACAGGAAGAATAGAGAAAACCTAGAAAATACAGGGAATTTGAAAATCACCTATAATAACAGAGAAAATGAAGGGAATTTTGAGTTTTTCTTCAGAAGCTGGGAAAATACAGGAAATTTTGTTTCATATTTTCATCTTTTTAAAAAATGGTAACCACTCAAAATGGGATATTTAAGGATGATATTTAAGCTAGATTAAACTAGTTCATTTACTATAGCATTAATTGTTTTAAATATATTCAGCTCTTCCTTTTTTTCTCCAAATTTTTTCAGCAATTGTAATTAGTATAGTTATCCCAATACAGCTCTCACAAGAGCACAATGATTGTGCTTTTCCGCTTAATGTATTGCGTATAATATATACAGGGAAAGCACAGGGAATTTTTTTTTTCAGATTTGAGTAGCAACCCTGTTTTAATTTATCAGATAAAAATTTTTTTATTTACAGGATTTGATTTTTTTCAATTTATTTTTAATCTTAAAGTGCTTTCGGTTTAACCTAATAGATGATGTTTACTGTGAATTTATTTGGTTCTTTTTATTTCCTTAAAGGAAAAACTGGTGCGATGATCTAGGCATACCATGGTGCCCAGAATGCGGCGAAACAGAGAACATAGTGCTAGTGCAGAACCCAGAATCGCTTGCCTCAGATCTCCATACGGAAGATGAAGTGATTGCCACAGTTGAGGCTATACAATTAGTAAAAGATGTATTCGCCTATTTGGACGAGATTGTTGACAACATTGATTCAGATGAAGACAGAGATATAACCGTAAATGATATGAACAGTCATCGTGTGACAGAAGCGTTTGAAGATGTTTTACTCATAACGAATCCCGTGTCTTTCGTGACAATGTACATTTTAATTATAATTTTTATTTGTTTTCATGTCTATTGTTTTCTTGATTAATCTCCCTGTCAAAAATAAATAATTTTCTTGTTATATTGGTGTTCTCTTGTTATATTTATGTCTTATTATAATTCTATTACCCTTTGGCAAAATGGGTCTTGGTTTGAAATTCACAGTGGCCGCACTTTTCAACTACAATAATCACGAGTAACAGTGCGCATGCGTTGGTTGCTACGGCGACCGCTGCTGTTTGATAATTTTTTTAGAATTCTTTTTTTCACTTTTTAATTTTGTTATGCATTAAGTTGGTGAGATTATTTTTGAAATATGGAACAAGAGAGATCCCATAAATATTTGAGTTGTGAATAAAGTGCAATTTCATCACTTGAATAGTATTTTTTTTTATTGTTTTAATTAAGAATCAGAAATTCTAACCTCCAGTTCAAACTGGTTCGTTTCAATACTAAATCAGGGTAATATCACAAATAAAGAGGGTTCAAACTGATTGACACGGTCCCAAAAGTTAGAGTTGAAGCAAGAAAAAAGAAACGATGCTAAGGCCCAAACTTACCGAGGCTGAAAAAGTCAAAGCCAAGGAACGTAGACGGGAATACCTTAAGCGTTATGCCCAAACGAAAAACCGAAAGGATTCCGTTCGCAAACGCAACCATGAAGCCCGTCTATCACAAAAGTATCAAGGTGGTTGAGAGAATTGAACCCAACCAAAGAGAGAATGGTGACTCTCCGAACCCTTTTCGTGCAAATACGAGAACTGGGTGTTGATTACTAGTTTGGATTGAAGGATCCATTGTCAACTTACCCAATAACTTGTACAAGACTGTAGACTGTCTTCCACGCAATATAACAGATTCATTCACTATTTATGTAAAATCGAAAAAAAAGCATAACTTTCAAATCACGTTTCATGTATGAACTTGTGAAACCAAAACGGGGGAATGATGCAACTTACAATCTCCATCAGACACCATTGTACCAATCCGACAATGTCAATTTTGATCTCGATTGGCTCTTCAATGTCTATTCAGTGGTCAAAAGAATTTACACCGAATGTGCCTGAGCTGGATTTAAATATGTCTGCGAAATTATGTATTTAAATAAGTCTGTGTGTACCGAGAAATTTAGGATTAACAGTCAAAGATGTCCAAGATAAAACCAAATAATTTTTCTTTTTTTCTTTTCCAAAAAAAAAAGAAGAAGAAGAAGACATCAACCATTTAGCCAATGGTTAACCTGTGATCTCCTAGTGGTGATCCCAATTTTCTTCATTTTATCGTGAATCGTATTACCGATTTGATTTCTTGACAGTGTAACCGCAATAGAGAATTCTACAATTTAGGAATTACCTATTTTAATGCTCAAAATTTTTATTTATTTCTTGGTTAATTGATATAGCGGTATTTGCTTTAGTGGATACTCATCTGATTTTTATGTTGTTTTATCGAAATGTTTCGTGAATTGGTTTGAAGAGCGTTGCAATAGTTTACATGGTTTCCTAGATTTTAGTTATAAACTGATTGATGTATTCCGTAGAAACAGGAAGAGCTCAAAGTTGTCCATAAGAAAGGAAAATGTCCTTAAATGTTCTTAATCATTAAACACTTCACTAAATGTCCTGAAATTTTTGTGATTTTTGCAAATTTTTGTTGAAGTTAACAGGAAGAAAAAGCATTATTTATCTAAAAAAGAATTGAAAAAAATTCATTTCTGGAAATTACATAATGTTGCTTTTTATATGGTTGAATTATTACTACCAAAAATTTAATTGCATCTTCTTTTTTAAAAAAAGATCGGCATAAAGCATTTACATACAGCGTTATGTTTGCTTTAACGTTAATGTTCGTAATGCATAACGTTAATGTTCGTAATGCATAATCTCTTATCACCGAAATACAAGCAATTGACTGATTGATTTTGAACAAAAATTTTGTGATAGCAGCGTTTTCAAAAAATAACACTAATAGTAGTCAAATTTGGATCATTAATACTAAAGGCAACTTATAGTAAAAAACGATGCCATGTTTTTTCGTCTCATTCTTGCATGCAGTTAAATGTTTGTGCAAATCTACTTTTGATAAAATACAATATTTAAGACTTTTTTATAGTTTCGAAATTTAAATGTTACCTAACTTTTTAGGCTAAAATTGCTTGTTAGTACATATTACCTTTAACTAATTGTCGAATCGTTAAAAATTTCTGATGAGTCAATGTCAATTGATTTTTGCATTGCAAGAAACTATTCTCTAACTTTTTAATTAAAATTCTTAAAGGCTTTCCTGCTTTCACTCCCTGAAAATAATTCCAAGCGTGTTTTTGAGTTTTGTTTCAAGTGTTTTGTTAAGTAAAATTTCAGATTCGAAAAGGATAAAGTTACTGAAGTATTTTTCCATTTAATATCAGTGAAAAAAATAATTGAAATAAAATTTATGCAAGTAATTTGAATATTTTTAAATATTCTTTAATGTCTTAATTATAACAAAAAAATAACAATTTAAGAAATCGAGGTATAATTTAAATCTTTTATTAATTAATTATTTCTAAACTTTTCGGAAATAAATGACATGTAGTTGTATTTTAAGGGAAAAAAGATTTTCTTAAGGTAGAATTTCAACTCAATTCGAATGTAAATTTAACTTCGTAATTATGAATTGTGGTTTTTATTATATATTTTTAGAATATAAATAATGAATGAAAATTGTGAAATTACAAACGGCTTAAGTTATGACTTTTATAAAGCATGTTTTACAAACTAACAAATTCAATTGAGATTTTGCTAAAATAGGCTCACACATTTCTAAAAAAGAAAAAATTAGGAATGCATTTTAAAATTAAGGACTTGAAAATTATTAAAACCCATTGCATGTAAAAAAGAAAAAAATATCAATAAAAGTTGTGGTGTAGTATTATTTCTTAATTGAATTTGAAATATTAAAAAAAAAAACAGCTGAACATACGATATACTTTATAGTAAGAGGGAGGAAAATGGATGGTAGCAGAATTCGCTAATATAGTTTTATTTAGTATTTCTGTATTGTAAGTAATGCATGGAATGACATTATAAAGCTATTGTTCTATATTTTATTGCATCACGACAATACAAAAAATTAAGTAAAACCATATCACCGAATTATTCAACTACCATCCAAATCTTCTTGCTTATTCCAAAAATAAGAGACGACGCAAGATAAGAACAGAAAATATGAAATCTAATATGAGGGGCATTCATATGAAACCCAATTACTAGTGAAAAGTAACAGTAACAATTTTATTTATTTATAATTTTTTTTTGTCGTATGCCTGTTTAGGCAGTTGGGGAGCGATTGTTCCTGTTTGTCAGTCGCGCCATCTATGGCCAGGAATTCAACTTCTGCCACGCCATTCACACAACCACAACCCGTTTATAGAGCGGGTCATATTCACACACAAAGGAGAAAGGATATAGAACACACAGAGAGAGAAAGAAACATTCATGCCTTGCCCGGGATTCGAACCCAGGACCTTTCTGATGCAAGGTCAGTTCCCAGCCCCCGACACAGGCCGGTCGGTTTCAATTTTATTTTTCACAAATTTAATGAAAATGAGTATCCTGCATGCTTAGGGTAATCGCGTAATCTTGATGATTTTGAATTGTCTATATCATCAAACTCTCGAAAATCATGTCAGTATGTTCAAATTTGACCTATAATTTTTAAAATCATAACTCAAAGTTAGCTTAAAACGAAACTAACTTCACGTGACTCTAAAAGAGGCGGGGATTGCTTATGACGCCAGTATATATTACTTTGGGTAAACAGAATTGGCCAAAACTAAACTTGTTATAAGGTGTAGTGATGCTGTCTGCAAAGGATTTTATTCCTTTTTTTTTTTTTTCTTATGCCAAAATTAAGTTAACTTTTTGGTTTAATGCTGAGAGACAAGGAAGTTTGGTTTGAGAATTGATTTTTTTTAATCAAAAATATCAATTTTCTCATTCCAAAGTGTTGTAGGAAATAAGAATTGTTTCGAAATTTTTCACCTAATGGTTTCATCCCAGGTAGGAAATGGAAATACTTAAGATTTAGATTTTTAAGTTTTTCACTAGAGATGCAAATAATTCTTAATCCCTTATTTATTTATTTTTAGATAGTTATTTTTTTATTCTTAAAACCGTTTTTCCTGAAAAACTACAAAAAAAAAATTATTATTTATTTGTAATAATTTTTCTTAAGTGCAATATTGAATTTATTCAAAGTTCGCATTTTAAATTTTTATACCCTTATTAGCTAAAATATATTTGCAAGATGCATTTCGCAATATAAAATTCATACAAAATTTACCAAAAAAAAAAAAAAAGCAAAACTGCGAAAACACAATNATTTTTTTGGCAATGTAATGTGAAAAATATTATGAAAGTGAAACATTTTGTAGTACATTCCGATACAACTGATCAGAGGAGGAAAGGGTCAAGAGGTCAAGACAAGAAACAGGTCTTGCGATCATGAATTGAAGTTATCCTCAACAAAGGAATTATTGCAGTTTCATATCACCGAATTATTCAACTACCATCCAAATCTTCTTGCTTATTCCAAAAATAAAAGACGACGCAAGATAAGAACAGAAAATATGAAATCTAATAAGAGGGGCATTCATATGAAACCCAATTACTAGTGAAAAGTAACAGTAACAATTTTATTTTTTTTTTTTTTAGTCGTATGCCTGTTTAGGCAGTTGGGGAGCGATTGTTCCTGTTTGGCAGTGGCGCCATCTATGGCCAGGAATTCGAATTCTGCCACGCCATTCACACAACCACATCCCGTTTATAGAGCGGGTCATATTCACACACACTCACACTCAAAGGAGAAAGGATATAGAACACACAGAGAGAGAAAGAATCATCCATGCCTTGCCCGGGATTCGAACCCAGGACCTTTCTGATGCAAGGACAGTTCCCAGCCCCCTACACAGGCCGGTCGGCTACAATTTTATTAACTCACAAATATAATGAGGATCCTGCATGCGTAGGGTAATCGCGTAATCTTGATGATTTTGAATAGTCTATATCATCAAACTCTCGAAAATCATGTCAGTATGTTCAA